AGCAATAGTTTCGATACATGATGAGTTCAATGTGTACAATATGGAAAAAAGGAGGCAAATATCTCAGTGATTAAATTCTTTCTATCCCGGCGCTAATACAGTGAAGGGGCCATGTCGCGGCGCGGCAAGTCCTCTCCTTAGAATGGGGCGCGTGTTCAACAAAAAAAAATCCACGACATTCGCTGGGATCTCCAGTGAAGGGGAGGGGAAGAGAGGGGGGGGGTGTTAGATCGGCGAAGAGAGGGAAGTCATATTTGCTTTCAATGGAGAAGTTTGCACAAGTTGACTTCTCCTGTTTTTCCTGCGCTGTAGTGCTATGTCCCTCTCAGCGGCAAATTGGAGGCTTCCATAGAGAGGGGTGAAAAGCAGGGAGAATTCGGGAAGGTGTTAGATAGAATGGGAGGTGTAAAGTGGGTCGTACCAGAGATGAGATTTTGAGGAGGAGTGTCGTATTTTCGGAATTTTCTCTAACAGGAGGATTTGCGCTGGTTGCAATACGTCGCAGTATCCCCGCGTGGCAAACGATGTCGGCCTTGCGACAGACGAGTTTCCCTGTATGCCTTTTGAATTCGAGCGTCAAGAAGAGGAAATAGCAGGTTCATTCAACATGTTCTGCCTCCGCTTTACCTCCAGAAGATCCAGAGAAGACCACGAGCGTATTCAGGACGTTTGCGCACTTTCAAGGCTGGGCTTTGGTTGGAAAGCGATCACTTCTCCACGCCCCCTCTCAAGTAAAATAACGCGCTGAAGTCCTTATTCGTTATATGTATCGAAATTTGTTAGTAATATCTAAATTTGAGCTGTAATTGACTTTGTGGAGCAATGAATTTAAGAGCGAGCAACAACAGAGAAACCAGAACACAAACAAAACTTCGAAAAGGAACTCCGTCACAATCCCTCGAAGACCTCGACACGTTGTTTTGGAGTACCACGGGAACTCTAGAATAAAGAAAGTTATTGTGGTAATCGCGAATAGTCTAGCAACTATTAGTTCAACAGCACTTCAAGTTCATCCATCCATGGGTTTTCCAACTGCATTTCTTCTTACACGTTTTCAGTTCAAGTGAAATTTCAGGTTTACGCGTGACACTGGGTCCGATTCCGAAAATCGGGTTCTAATTATGCTTTGCTGCACAATGAGTTAGAAGTTCAGGCAGCAGTGGTACACAGTACAACAAAACTGCGCGTGAATATAAGGGATTGGACCCCAGAACACGCACGCACACTATTCCCCACTGCGCCCCTATGCAGCATTGTCGCCATCACCTGGCCCCGCTCCCGCTTGGCGCCGGTGCCAGGTAATCTCAAGCCAATTAATGTGGTTTTCATGTTCGGAGGATCAAACTTTCCCTGAAAGCAAGTTTTCAGCTACATCCGCCCTGGGAGAAAGAGAGCCGGTTAAAAACTGCTTGATTTCGGAAAATTTGCGAAAGTAAAAGGTAAGCAGTGACGAGAACTGTCGAGCTGCATAGCGCCGTCACCTCCCAAAGCCATTATTTCTGGGAGACTGAGCTAGATATATTCGCTTCCAGAGCGAAATATTCCCAATCTACACCCTTGAGATATTTAATTTGCAAGTCAATGTTGGTAAATTTTACATCAAATGGTGACAGCGGTTGCTATAACTAAACGCTAAACCTAGTTCTACTTCTGTAGAACGTCGAAATACTGCAAAACAACGAAAAACAACACAAATGAACAACATGCTCATGCTGTAATGAACACATATTACAATTTTTTTTTCACAAAAAAAACCAGTGGAAAAAATACCTGGAATTCCTCGAACACATTTAAACGTGCCCACAACGAACACAAAGTCACGCAAGGGCGGTCACTGGATAGTGTTGGGGTAGTTTCACGAAATACCAAGGAAACCACGACTACCAAGGGACTACTAAAAATTTTTTTTTTTCAATTTTCTCTCATATCCCACGAAATATAAAACCAAGGACTTTTAGTCAGACAACAGCTCCCTGTGGCATCCAGGAATTGACAACTCAACACTAACCCGTACCTTGAGCACTCACACAACTGCATAAACTCACCAATACCACGACTGCATTTCACAGAAGGATTCGAGAGAGCTAGCACTCTTCGATTTTTGCTAAACATTCAAAGCGTCCAAACGGATCGCACGAACACTTGACTTCTCAGGAAAAAGTTGATAACTCTAGAAGCCCGTCGAAGTAATTTGTATGGTTTCTGCACGAATGATTCCGAAACAAATGAGAATGGCTCTTCAGCTCTAGCTCGGACGAATGTAAGGGGAGAATGATGAGTAAAAAGGTCAGGTATTCAGCTACCGTAAAAAAGCTTATGGGGTACATATTGAACATTCGAACTCAAGTGTTATCTGCTCGTCATAAAAAATACCCTGTTTCCTTGGGTGAGCCGCATCCTAGTATAAGGTGCACCTTTGCCTGGAACAGCGCGAGTGTTTTCGCGTGAAAAACGTTCCTTTTGGTCTCACTCTTCTAAATTACGAATGGTTTTCTAAGCGGACAGTCCCATGTCCCAAAATAACTAATCTCATAAGTAGTTAAATTCGCGTCCTTGAATTATCAGAGGTTTTGCTGCGTTGCTTCACGTCGTTGATTTATTCCTATGGATTCGTGCCATAATAATGAATGATAGGTGTTCGAAAACCAACCAGAGAGGTAGAATATGCAAAAAAGACAGATAAACCTGTCGCTTAACCTGGAATTTTTGACGCGCGCAGAGCGTCTCAGCGAATGAATATGCCTTGCACTCCGGAAATACGTAAATTACGTTCACTCAAGTAATAATACGCTTTCCTGAGGAAATCAACCACCCAAAAAGCTTAGACCTAGAAAAGAAAGCACTCACCATTCGTAATGTTGTGAATTTATCAAAACCATTATGCATATTATGAATATGAATAACATCGTGCTCGGTCTGCCTCTCTTCTCTTTTCAGTGCATCAATTTCGTTTCGGAAATCATCTAATCTCTCTTTGAACAACCGTGCTTTTTCAGAGAAATCGTGCCTGAAAGACAGCAAAATTAGAGATCGTGTAAGGAACGGACAACTCCCCAACGATATCAATTGAAGCATTGCAGTTCATGAAGAATAACACATTCTGTCTTGATCTCTCCCTTTCCGGGATGCGTCACGCACTCCTCCTCCATCCAGAATAAGATTACTTAGACCCTTCTCAGCCTCCACAATAGCTCGCCGGTCAGGCGATGTACATGTCAGGGTTTCTATTGAACAAGTAGGAATATGCTTCATATGCTGGGAATCTTCAGCCAGAGAATGTATTTGATTGCTGGAGGGGATCATACTCGCCTTTGCAAAAATGTTTTCAATTGTTGACTTCTCCAGTCTCTCCTATTTCAAGTGCGCTATGCGCTATATAGTTCCTCCCCCATCCCCCCCCGCACTCCTAATTCATTTTAGGATAAATTGGGGAGCTTTGCAAAAAAAAAACTGCGGAGGGAAAAGTGTTGAATAGTAGGAAGATTGGTAAGTTCCGAGAATTCGGGAAGATGATAGGTAGAAAAGGGAATGAGGGAAGGGAGAGTGGTGCCGTATTAGAGGAGGGAATTCTGAGGGAGTACAGGAGGGGGGGGGGTCGTATTCTGCCGAAACTTCAGCGGCAGGACATGCCCTGCTACCAATTACCTGGCACTACCAACCTAGTCCGTATGGACGGAAAGCTTGGTTACTCTGGGAAGGAGCAAATCCAAAATTACTCTTAAACCGTGCAGCGGTAAGCGGAGCTACTTACCACTATGCCATCTCTCTCATCACTGAGTTTTATGGAAATTGTAAAGTTCGATACGAAGAGACCATAAAGTTATTTGTATTTTTTGTGAAAACGAAAACGCTTTTGCTGTCTCTTTGTGTTACTCAACATTCAGGTCGCGAGGAGGCATTAAGCATGCACAATAAGAGGTACCAATTCGTATTCGTAAGAGCTCTTGAGTTCTGTACTAATAAAAATAAAGGAATCCTCAAATCTGTGGTTATGAAAGGATGATTGAGAATAACATCACCGACTACTAACCTGGATTTTTCGAGTTCTGTTCGCAAATTATGAAACTCGAGTCGTTGGTTAACCGAAGGATCTGGAGGTGGGGCGTGGATTATCTGAAAGAGCGGTTTACTCACTGGTCACCGATACAGCTACCCCAACTCGACATACACGAACCTGGGCTAAACTGGGTTGCACTGATCTAAACATTGAACTGAGCGCAGGAGGATGTTGTGATGCATGGATCGCAGGGCGATCGGAAATAGCTCCACGATCACCTTCTTGCGAGCCAGCAGACATCATGAGCTGATGATGAGAAAGCGTGCCTTGCAAGGCCATATTTGTCATGGGCCAAATCTGAAGAAACAAGGGAACTGTTCACGGAATATGTGATGTTAGCAAGTAGGCAGCAAGCTAGCAAATGAGTACATACGGTAGGCTCTGTGATGAGTGCGTGACTCGCATAGTGCGGTTTCGTATTCACATCAGCCAATGACATCGATATCCTTTGGGCATAGAGCTCCGCTTCACGAGCTTTGCGTTCCATCCTCATCAATGCCTCTTCTGACTATAACGAAGAAGCAGATGAATGCTTACTACAGAAAAAGAACAAGGATCATGGGCCGCGATGATTGGAGGTCAAAACCTTAACACACTGAATAATTCGTGCTCGATTGATTGATTTCACTGATTCGATTTCAATACACAAACCCCCTCCCGCCCCGCGCTTTTTCGCACTGACTTCACCTCATGTTTTCTACATGAATTTTACCCGAACAATACGAACTGTCCCTGTGGAAAATGTGCCGACCGTGCATTGATCCCGATGACCTGCTCGCACTTGGACGAACAGCAACAAATTTTCCGTTCCAGAAGAAAATTAAAATTATAACAGAAACTTGGTGGCCCTTAATGTGTTGAAGATACGCCCACAACAACAACATCAAATTCTAAATTCATTCTATGGAAACAAACCTTCACGTGGTTCATCTGTAACCGATGACACTCCGCTTCCGCTTCACTCACTCTTTTTGTGAGCATCAACGTTTCTTGCTCGCTCGCTCTTGCCTTTTCTGCTAGAAGCTCCGCTGTCTCCTCGGTTTTACGGGCGGCTTCCTTAACGATGAAAATATGAAATAAGGTCGAGAAAATCTAAGAAAAGACAACTAAATTAGCGAACAAACAAAGATACACCATGCCAATTGTGCTGTGGTGTCATAACCATTGATGTGAAGAACTCCAAAAGTTTATTCCAAAAAACTCAAAAGACAGCAAAAGTCTCAAAAGTTTTTCAAAAAATATCTTATCTGGCTATATTTCGGTGCGTAGCAACCTTCCGCCGCAGGCCTCGAAATTGAATTTGAATTTTCAAAACTGAAATTTGCCGAGACATTTGGGCCTGAGGAAGGTGCTACGCACCGAAATATCGCAAGATAAGATATTTAAAAAAAACTTTTGAGACTTTTGCTGTCTTTTGAGTTTTTTGGAATAAACTTTTGGAGAGTTTCACATTGTTATTACACATTCAAATTAAAACCGCAGATTACAACTCAACGGAGTATGTTCGGAGATCTATTCCATGCAATTATAAGTTAGTTGTTTCAGCTCTTAGTCCTGCGACAAGCTGCCTGCTATCTTTTCCGACTTCAAGCCTTCTAATTTTTTTTTTTTTTTTTTTTGTTTCGTTTCATGTTTCCAGCCTGTAACGTTCTTTGCTCGTTCTCCTCGCGATTCGGGCAAGTTCTTGCTAAACTCATGTTAATCATTGAGGAATGGGACGTGTAAGGAATCCTTTGCGAATGTGGAGAATCATAAGGAACAGGCCACAAGCGTAAACATACGCTGAACATACGTACGCCCAAACATACGTATTGATCCGACGAATTCGCCATTTGGGAGAATGCACATCCCGGAGGCCGGCGCGATTTGTGGAATCTCCCAAGGCTCCGTTAATACTTCGCGGCCGGTTGCGCGGGGAAATTTTTCGGGATACGTGCCAGATTATTGTGAAAGAAAGGGCAATATAGGGATATCGTCAGCCCCTAAATACCTTTCACAAAGAACGGCCAGGTCTGTTTGAAATCAGCATTTCGGCACACAAACGTAATAGTTCAAACACAGGAAGACTGGAGCGATGCCTGGTTCTATGGTTTTTCGCTCAAGAGACGCCGAGTAGCAATATGCGAAGCGCCTTCTAGCTTCGCGCGTACAACTATGCCCGAAAATATGGCAGGTGGTGAATCGAATTCGAGTCACATTAACCTTAGCGGAGATGTCCAAACTGAAACTCCTCCTCATTCTCGTGGCACACTGACGTAGCTTTCATTCGGTGGCGTAGTCGACGTACATTTGTTTGAAGAGGGGCGTACCTGTCTACGAGCTCGTTCTTCTTTTGCCAACGCTTTCATCTGTTGCACCTAGAAAGAAGAGCAGTAGCAAAACAACGAGTAACAAGTAGCAACTTTCGAGTAAAAACATATAGTAACAACTAGAAGCAGAATGCTTTACCCCAAATAAAATAGTCGTTTAAAATAGGACCAGTCGTTAAAAAAAATGCACGTGCGAGTTATAAGAGTAACTCTAAAGTGTCCGGTGACGACGTCGGAGATATAGATTGTGGGTTCCTATACACAAATCAAGAATTGAAGGATTTATAGTTCTCTCTTGGGCACGAAACGATATCTTCGACTTATCCACCGTTTTCATATGGAACTGAAAATTTTCAATGATACCTCGCACTCTTCAAAAAATAGTTTCCACCGCTTCATGTCGGGCAAACCTTCTTGTTATAGAATGAAATATTTTTGATTTCGCTCCATGAAAAGAACGGCCGCGGTGTTATCCGATTTGAGCCCTTATATATACCGAGACCTTGTGCCGAAATAACCAAGATGTAGGTCAGTTTCTTTCTTGTTCTGAAAAAAAAATAAATTCGCAGGTAAAATAAACAATCAACAGAAAACATGAACAAGAGAAACTGCCATACACAGATTGGGTAGTATAGTATTCCATACATTTCGAGATCTTGGGCCACACGGAGATATTCCATTTCAGCGTCTTCCCTGAAAGTAAGTAGTAGTCAAAGTACCTAGGAAGCTCGTTGAAAAACATTTCACTCTTTACGAGTTTTACTGGCGCAAGTCGAGCAAAATGGGACATTTTGAAGATTCCTTGCGCTGAACTGGGTCTGTTGTAATGGAGGTGATAATTTCAATTTCACCTCCATTACAGCAGACCCAGTTCAGCCCAAGGGGAGAAGCAGCTTGAGAGCAGAAAACAAAAAGTGATTTTTTTTTGCGGAAGAAAGAGGTTCGCATTATGGTCAACCCAGTTCCGCACAGCTAGTCCTCTGACAGCTCCCTGCCCCCTGACCGATTAGTTGCGAACCTACGAGCCGAAGCCCAGTTGAAAATCAAGAATTAAAAAAATAACCTCGATTGGCCGTGATTGTTGATCCACCAGCGCTTAATACGCTCTCTCCACATATCAGCGCTCATATCGTACTGATCAATGACGCTTTTCGGCAACAATTTATCCAAATCCAATGGCCCGGTGTCATCCGTGCAATCTCCATTCTGAATGAATCTCAAATGCAATAAATGAAAAATCAAGGCCGCGATAAATGGAAACCGTAGACGTCTGCACTTATGAAAAACGCTTAGTCATTATCCGTAATGAATTCAAAATAGAATTTCAGGCATCAAGATGTAAAAATAGGCAGTAACTCCTACAATCAAAATTGTTACGCGCTGCTTTTTTTAAAGTCCTGCCGCGGAAGGAGGTGGCATACATGGACAAAAAAGCAGTGGCTTCTTGAGCAATGGGAGGTGCAGGAGGAAATATGGGCTCTTTCAAATGGGAAGGCTTCGAGGTAAGTGAGCTACTTGACCAGGAAAGGCTTATCAATACGATATGGTCTA